GAGGAAATAAAAGTTGTTTGGAAAAATCCAGGTGTAGCTGCTTTGTATGTTGTGATGGGTAGAAGGGATGAAGTGAAGTGTGAAGGCCCCTCACACCCTCCATCTTGCCTCAGACTATGTCCTGGAATCCTGGGGCAGAGAAAGTGTCACTCTCATTCTTGCTTCTTGGGATTGTTGGCCGCCACATAGTGATAGAGAACGACAAGCAAAAAGAGCGACACACCCAACATGTCGGTGAAGATGGTGAGCTGCACATCTGGGATCATCCTGATTAGCTCCGACGCTCACTGCGCACAAGTTCGAGGTAGGAGACTTGGCAATATTGGGCATTTTTATATGCCAAGACCATAGCAAAGTACCTGGCAGATGCTCAATGACTAGTTCCTGGTGAATTTAGCACAGCTACAACTTGAGATGTGACAAGTAGGTTATGAATATTTGACTGTACCAGGCATTTCATCAATAACTTTTTTGCTTATGAGTTTGGTGATCATATAATTTATCATCCAAGCTGGGACATTTTGAGACTGAAGGAGGACACTGCTAATAATAGAAAGGGTACATTATGTGAACCAAGCTGGGATGAATGATCACCCAACTTGTGAGGCAGTGTCTCATGCTGATTAGATCCAATTTGATTATCTGACACCACAAGCAACCAAGTGGCACAAAACATTTGGTGCTATTTGCCTATGAACACTTGTTCAGTCTCTTTAACTTCCCTCCCAATTTGTTCCTGGTTTGTTGTTTCCTACGGTGGCAACTTTGGTGCTTTATTGACATCATTTTTGGAGACTCTTTAATAAATTCTATCTATGCTATTCTGATGGATTCTCAAATAAAAGGTTAAGTAACATACAGTGATTGTCAAATATGTGATTTACAAACAGAATTTTAACTGTACAGTATACAAGAGATACAAAAGACCTGAAGTAGCATGGGCAGACAAAATAAACGAATGCATATTGATTATTTAAAATCAATGAATTAATGAATAAATAATGAAAATAAAGGACCTGCTTAATTGTGTCAGGTTTGAAAGATAGCATTAATAGTTGAAATAATTGTGTCCATTGTAAAGGAATTTGGTGTTATTTTAACTTAAATGTTGTTGTTGTTAGGTGCCATTGAGTTGTGTCTGACTCATAACGATCTGTGCACAGCCCAGTCCTGCACCAGCTCCATGATCCCTGCTGTACTTAAGTCCATCATTGCAGCCATTGTGTCAGTCCATCTCATTGAGGGCCTTCCCCTCTTTCATCAACCCTCCCCCTTTCCAAGCATGACATCCTTCTCCAGGGAATGGTCCCTTCTGACAACCTGACCAAAGTAGGTGAGAAGAAGTCTGCCATTCTCACTTCCAAGCAGCATTCCGGATGCACTTCCTCCAGGACAGATCTGTTAGTTCTTTTAGCAGTCCACAGTATTTTTAGCATTCTTCACCAGTACTACAACTCAAAAGCATCAATTTTTCTTTGGTCTTCCTTATTCATTGTCCAGCTCTCACATGCATGCATACAAGGTGATTGAAAATATCATGGCTTGCATCAGGTGCACCTTAGTACTCAAGGAGACATCTTTGCTCCTCAGCACTTGAAAGAGGTCCCTTGCAGCCAACTTGCCCAGTGCTATATTTCATCTAATGTCCTGACTCCTGCTTCCATTGACATCAATTGTAGAACCAAGCAATGTGAAGTCTTTGACAACTTCAATCTTTTCTCCATTTATCATGATGCTGCTTATAGGTGCAATTGTGAGGATTTTTGTTTTCTTTATATTGAGATGTAATCCATACTGCAGACAGTATTCTTTAATCTTCATCAGTAAATGTCTCAAATCATCTCACTTTCAGCAAGCAAAGTTGTGTCATCAGTGTATCACAAGTTGTTAGTGATTCTTCTTCCAATCTTGATGTTCTTTTTCATATAGTCCAGCTTCTCGGATTATTTGCTTGGCATACAGATTGAATAAGTATGTGGAAAGGATACAACCCTGATGTTCTCCTTTCTTGATTTTAAAACATGTAGTATCCCCTCATTCTGTTTGAACCACATCCTTCTGGTCAATGTACAGGTTCTTCATGAGTACAATCAAGTGTTCTGGAATTCCCATTCTTCTCAATGTCATCCACAATTTGTTATGATCTACACAATCAAATGCCTTTGCATAGTCAATAAAACACAAGTAAACATCTTTCTGGTATTCTTAGCTTTGAGCCAGGATCCATC